GATAGAGGGTCAATATTTTCTCACGCTCTTGATTCCTTCCTCGCGAAACTCAACGTCAATCACGCGGGTGGTTTTTCGATTGGTTACACATCTCGTCTCGGGACAAAACGACGAGGTTCTTTGTCGCAAAAGAACCTCGAAGAAGACAAATGTTAACATTGAGATTTGTGCGTTCTAAAAACCGTCGTGTTGAGGAAGAGAGATTCGCGAAAAGTCTCTCATTTGTGCGAGATGAGAAAGTTCCGATTACATTATATTATTACGATAAATACGTTTTGATTACAAGGCGTGAACGCAAGCTAGCCTTGTTTTACCCCGGCGAGATATAAACTCAATATCTCGCTCGCGTTTTAACCCACCCCATATCTCGCGCTTTCTCTCGTCAGAGTTTTTCCCTCCGGATATATTCATCGATGGCCCGGCATATAACACGCCTCTTTAAATTCATCGAACCTGAATTGTGTCAAGCGGAGTTAAAACCCTTTAATATTTACGGAAGACCGATCAGGGCTTCGAGAGAGCGCGCGCTCTCTCTCTCTCTTTTCCTCTCTAAACAACAAAAAAGCACGCGTAACTTTGAATTCATTAAGTTGAAAGATAATCACATAAAAATAATACGAAGAGGACAATCAACGGAGTGGGTAATAAAACGCGCAACTCAAAGCGAAGCAGAAGCGGAAAAAACAAGCGAATATTATCGGATGCGTATGTTTAACAATCATTACGACTAATGTCGCTAATTAGCGATAAAATGAGGTTCACAATATAAATTTTATAATTTTACGCGCGTGTGTGTGTGTGTGTGTGCACTTTTTCTTTTATTTTATATTATTTCTGCAAATGCATTACTCGCAATACTGTAATTAGAGATTTTATGTTTTTCTTTATTTTATTGTTTTATTTATTTCGTTTTATTGTTTTCACGACTTTATCGTGTATAAAAAATAATATCATATATAGTGGAGCTTTTAATCATCAGCTGTGCGCGCAACGCGATGCGTGTACCGTGCTGCATACGCTTTCTGCAATGACGTGCAACGTCAAACGAAAATTGATAGACGATGTACCGAATTCGTGCGTGATACCGGAGATCCTCGTGACTCGGAAATAGAACGATCAACCTTCTCTTCCGCCGAATGTCACTGAGATTAATTAAAGCTGCAAATTAGAGACGATATCGCGAAGCAATATTCTATTACGCAGGCTTCTCTCAAAGGCCCGGCCAAAAGATGTCGCCGTGAAAAAGGCCGAATCAAAGAAAATTTCATCACGCTTGATTGTCATAACTCTCGTCGCAAATAAAAACCCGGGGACCGGGGTTTCACAATTTCTCCCGCGTCGGGAAAAGTCCGGGACCTCAAGTCGAGTGTAAGAAGAAAGCGATGCAAACATCGACGCGCCAATGGAAAACGTTAATCTCATTAAATCGCGCTCTCTCGTCCCACGACACCGAACTTTGTAACCGGAGACCGGATCCTCTTCTCCGCCTTTCTCGCGGGGGATTAAGAGATTTTCTCGAAGCAGAGCGTCTGTATATTCTCGGGATGTTCGGCGAGATTACAAAAGAAAAACAGTAAACGCAAATATTGTTTCGCTCTCTCTCTCTCTCTCTCTCTCTCTCTCTATACATATATATATATATACACGTACATTCTCCCCTGTGTATTCACTGCGAGTCCGCAAGCTCTCGCAAGAAAAAATAAATGTTTGATATTCGTTTCGAAAAGAATCTAAAAAAGGAATACAGCAGAAACTAAAGGGAAGCACAATAAGTGGAATCGCGCAAAACTGAAAATCCTCAAGATGAAACATACGTCTTTTATTAGCCACGGACGACCCGTTTTTTTCTTTTCTTCTTGAGCACGACCTCTTTTTTTCTTTTTTTTTTTTTTAATTTAATGATAGTGGTTTTCGAGTTATGTCGAGCGGTAGTAGCAGCGGTCATATATATGTGGCTCGTATTAACAACGAGGATTTTTCTCTCTCTCTCTCTCTCTCTCTCTCTCTTTCTTTCTTTATCTCGTGTACCGAGAGAAAAATAAGGTTAACCGGGAAGAGAAGGAAACACGTTTCGCACTTGTTTTCTGCTACATTATGCAGGTCAAGAGAAATGCGTAACGTACAAAATACTCGGCGCGATTCGCGCAGACAGATTTGCATAATTCTTAATAACTGCCGTCTCGCACACTCGCGTGCGGTTTTTCGGTCGCGTAACGCGAGAGAGCGTCGTCGCGTCTCAATATTTTAAATATCGCGCGACACGAAATACAACGACGTGAGATCTATCGACGCGCATGAGATATACACACGTGCATCGCGAGCAGACATAATATTCTCTCTCTCTCTCTCTCCCTTTCTCGTTAATTATTAATAAAACGAGATTATAATTACAATGAGCTCCGTAATGCCTGGCAATACATAACAAATAAGTCACGCGGAGAGAAACGTTGGGATTAGCTTTAAATTAGATCGTCGCCGTGCATTGATTGTGCTCGTCGAACTGCAACTCCTCTAACGACGTCGATGCGAATAACGCGGAAATAATCATATTACTCTACACGTGACGCAGCAGAAGAAAAGCATGGACTCGATTTCCGCGTCTCATGAATAATGCATCGTTCTTTCTCTTTCTCTCTCTCTTTATCTTTTTCTCGCTCGCTCGTTGCGTGTATGTAGCCGCGCTCTGGTTTTAAGTGATCGCCGCCGGGTTTGTACCGAGCGGAGATCCCTGCATAACAATTTATCGCATATTTACGATCATACGTGCCAATCCTTGACACGGAATTTTTACTACTGAACCTTGTTTTGTCATCGAAACGAAAGAAATACTCCCGCGCAGATTCGCAGGATGAAAAAGATAAACCGCAAAACATTCTCGGAGAAATCTCTCTCCGAGTCGCATATGTGAAAAAATTTGCTCTCGCGAAAATATTGTTGAGGAAATCAATGCTTTTGCGAGCACTTTGCTCGTAAATAAAAAGTTATTGCGTTTCGTTTTTACAGATTTTTACAACACATATTATATATGTGTGTAATAAATCTGCGAGATCAGAACGCAATAACTTTTCATTTGCTCGCAAAAGCATTGATTTCCTTAGAAATATTTCCGCGAACGCAAGTTTTTCCGATTTATATATATATATATATTTTATTTTATATATATATATATATATATAAAATGTTGTAAAAATCCGCGAGATCAGAACGCAATAACTTTTCATTTGCAAGCAAAGTGCTCGCGAAAGCATTGATTTCTTCAGGAATATTTCCGCGAACGCAAGTTTTTCCGATACTTCTGGTTTTGCGCGCGAGAAACCTTTAATAATCGGAGAACCCGTCCAGACTAATAGACTTTTTTTTCGCCGGCGCCCGCGGAAGTGCTAATAAGTACGGATGCACGAAAGATCGATACGCTCGCGTCCGTATAATGTACACACAAGAGATCCTAATCGGCTTTTTAACCTTTTCACATGCAAGTTTTTTTTTTTTTTAAAGAGAAGTGTCTAAGTTCCTCGTAAGTTGTTCCGACAAAGACCGGAGATACTCTTCGGAAACGAGTGTGTAAAATATTCAAGAGAGCGTGCAAGTTAGTTTTTATTAAATCCGCAGTGTTCGCCGCGATATCAGTTGCTGAAACGAGCAGTGTAAAACAGAAATGTAAAATGTAAGCCAACAATTTCGTCAGAACTATATACTCGACCAATTGTATACGTTACTTGAAAATACAGCGCAAGAGAAATGAAAGCTTTTAGCGCGAGAGAGAAAGAGAGAGAGAGAGAGAGATGCAAACGCGAGAATGTCGCAAATCGAGGTACAAACCCTCTCTAATATCTTACGGTATTCGCATGTACGTAGATGTATGTTGGATTAATTAAGCCAATGCACTTGGGATATACCTACATTGTGAAACACAGAAACCGTTCTGCGCACGGTTCTTTGCGTGGTCTGCATAAGTCTAATTAATGCAAGAGCACGAATGTTAATTTAAAACGAATATATGCACATTCAATTATCGCTATTGTTTCAATTAAAAAATTATTCTTCCGAGACTTTTTGTTCATGAGTAATCGAGCGAATGCACGCAATTGTATCTTACAGTGCGAAGTTTCCGTTTTCCATGTACTTTGTTTTTAATTCGCATCGATCACAGCGCGTTTTGTTTTACTAGATTTTCTTTCTCTGCGTTATCGCGGCGATTAATGTATAACGACCGGTTATCTTGAAATATTATTAGGTTTATATAAATTTATTATTTATATAAACGTAATTAGTAATTGTTCACCATATTTATTAGCATCTCTCCACACACGTGTGTTAGCGCTAAGAACGCCGAGAGAGCGCGCGCATAATCTTAAACATAGCTCTAAGACATTAACATGTTGGTACAGCATCGCAAACTCGCGTAACGATAATGTAATCACATTACATGCGCACGCGTTTCGTGACAACCTCTGAAACGCTAATTATCTTACGACGGGGTAACAAAACTAAATATTTGTGAGACCAGAGCAAAATGGCGGTTCTGATTCTCGTGGAAGAAACGGAATTTCTAACGCAGTTTCCACTTGAATATTCTTCGAAGTCTCGTAACTCTGTTTTTTTTTGTTTTTTTATCTTAAAATGCTTTTGATAAAAAAAAAATACATTGATAAAAATACATTCATAAAAATATAACACTTATATACATATAATACGTATATACATATGCAAATCTTGTACAAAACTACAGGGTTGGTCGAGCTTATTGTCAACACTTTTTGTAGAAAACTCACTTGTTGCGGTCAAATGTGTAATTGGATTTCGTGCGTATCAGATTTATCAATATACAGTTTCTCGCAGTTTGTGTTGTCAACACAAACGGAAACGTTCGAGAGGGAAAAACAAATTTGTTTAGTTGTTTCCACGTGTATTGTTACGCGGCACAAGTGATAATATAATTTAGACTACCCTTTTTCGTAAACTCTCTCTCGCTCTCGAACGTTATCGTGTCTCTTACTCACCGATCACGTAGCTATATCCGTCCAACGTTAGAACGCATTTGCGCGTGTTTGGCGAGGACGGAATGCACGGCACTCGCCGCGAAACACGCTTGCTGGGGCTGCACGAAGTGCTCGCCGCGCCCGGATCCGAGTGGCACTTCTGCACGGGGTCCTTGCCTGGTCTAGACATCGTCAAAAGTCTCGACTACTACGACTTTACGCTGTCGAGATCCTCGCTGTCGGTCTTCTCGTCCGCGAAGAAGCGCGCAAGACCCCGTGGCACCTGATTAACCCAGTACGCCTCGTATTATCCCACATCGCTCCGCCGTCAATTTATACATACACCCCCTTTTGTGCGAAGTCTCGTGTTGATCTTCCCGTTTGCCGCCAAAAACGAACCGAAGACGCGCGACTGTCTTTTATTTGTTATCTCGCGATTACGCGGTATATCAATAATATAATAATTCGTCGACGCCACAAGTCGACGCCACAAGTCGACGCGCGCAGTTCCAGTAGTTCCAGTTCATATACAAATCGCCCAATTTTACCGCCGACGTGTACGCGAACCGCGCTGCGGTTCGACGCAGAATTCTGGATTCTCTCACCGATACACCCCCATCAAAAAGCCGAGAAGCTTTACGATCCCGGGCCACATCCCGATATTCACGTCTTTGATGTATTCAGAAATAAATGTCAGCTGCGGGCTTCCTCCTCTCTCGCGAATACACATATATATATATGGAAGCGGGCACGAGGCGTGAAATATCGTTCAATATTTCAAAAATAAATGGTGGCACTCTTCAATTTAATTTTCCCCGCTGTGCGAACAAGAAGGTGGAAGCTTCTTTGCCTCTTTTCTTAAAAATACATGAAAATATACATATATATATATATATATATATATATATATGTATTGTGTTAGAAGATGAAACGCGCACTCTCGTCTCTATCTGTCTCTGCTTCGCCGACTCACAATATCATCTCCCATTCAAAACTGATATCTTTACGGACGGTTTATCTATAATCAACTTTGTGTTTTAGATCTGTCACAATATTTTTCTTTTTCTTTTGTACACGCGCGACTAGTTTTTTCCTCTCTTTTGTTCCTGACAAAACGAACTTTCTCGAACAAACTTCCTCGTGCAACAGTAATCTTAGTTCCTCTCTCGTTCGGCAAACTTTTTATCGCGCGATTGTCTCTCAAAGTCCGCGGGAGTCCCGCGGATTGAAGAATCTCCTTTAATTACACGGCGCTACTAGCGTTGCAGTCGACAGCACGCAAATGCCGACCGGATAATTATCCTCGGAGAATGATTTCGACGTTCTCACGATATATTATCGCGCACTTGACATCACCCTCGTTCTGATCTTTGAAGACAAAACGAGATGATTTTCGGAAACAACGCTTGTGTATATATATATATTTGTTTTTACGCGTCCACTCTGGCGAGAAACTTCTCAGTGCTTGTGAATAAAAAAAAAAAAAAAAAAAAAAATAGCGCGGTAACGAAGTTTTCCGCGCGTTTTATCCACCTTCGTGATTCCGCGCACTACCGTGACCGTCCACGCACATCCGGTCGTGAGTTCTCGCTCGTGACAGACGGTACTGAGGTGGGGAAGAGAGCGAAAATCAGGCGATCGATTCACGTTACCATAACGTTAACCCTCGCAGGTTCGTTACCTGGTGCACCGGCGCGCCCAGGCGAGCCTCGCTTCCGGCACGCACGGCTTTTCGCGGGATACGACGACTCGAAAGTAATGCACGACGGCCACCACATTGTGTTGCCCTCTCTCTTCTTCGTATATATGTGTGTGTGTGTGTATATATATATCTGCGCTTCTCTTTTCGCGAGTCTCGCGTTTCACGCGATGAAATCTAAAGCGGCGAACTTCCTCATAACTATACAGTCAAAAGATTCGCAAAACTTTCGAAATTCCCGCTTCGTGATTCAAGATTCGTTTGGTCGTTGAACTTCGGATGACCGTGATGTGTTCTCTCCTCTCGGTTTTTCTCCGACATAAAACAAATCGTACAATTGTTTTCCTCTCGGAAATTTAAACAAGCCGATGTGCGGAAATTCGATCAAAAGAGCAATGAACGCAGCTCGCTGTTAGAAAAAAACAAACGTACGCGTGTTCTCGTCGCGCTGTCGTCTCTTGCATTTGACATTTTAGAGTTCGATCGCGATCGCGTTCAAAAAGACTCGCAGTGGAAAAGACGGAGAGACGGGTACCAGGCGCCGCGCGCCGACCAGTGGAGGAACCGCGCGCCTGGTCGGACGCGGCGGTGGTGGCGGCGGCGGCGGCGGCGGCGGCGGCGACGACGACAACAACAACGACGACGACAACGACAAAAACCGGCGCGAGAGCGGCGGGAGAAGAGACGATGAACCGCGTTAAAACGCGACGAAAGAAAGTCGCGTGGTCGCGAATCGCGCGAGTCGTCGCCGGTTAAAACGTGTACGCGCGTCCGATCTCAGTCACGGTGCCGCTACAACTGAACCACTCGAAACCTCCACCTCTCGCCGTCGTCGTCCACCCCCCCTTCTCTGCGCCGCCTCTCCCCGACACCCCGACAGTTGGTTCAGTCACTCTCTCTCTCTCTTTCTATTCTACCATCTATCCGTCTCTTCATCTCTCGTTCTTCGTTTTCCCTCAAGCTCGTCACGGGCTTCACTCCCTCTGATGTGCACCTTCTTCTCCCTCCCGATTCCGGCTGGTCTCACCTTCTCGATCTGAAGAGATCGGCCCGGTGTTCTCTGCTTCTTCATCATCGAAGTCTATCGGTGTCTACCTCGAAAAAAGCCCGTTTCTCTCCTTTTTTGCCCCGAGGGTGTGCGTGCATGCGTACTGCGTGTGTGACACTACGTCACTTTCTCCCTCTTTCTCTCTTTCTTCCGAACACTTTCTCCGACGCTTACATCGCCATTGGCTCTGCGTAACGACGTTCGTAAGCGAGGCGCGACGAACTGATTTTGTGCCGCTACATTTTTCAGCTTTTTTTCTTTTCTTACCTTCATTTATCTAAGCTCTGGTGTAGAGGGTGGCGAGCAAACCGTAATTTAGATCTACGTCTACGGATATCGAGAAGCCGCGCTTGATGGGTCACCCCCCCTCCCCCCATCTTCGAGTTTCCTACGAACGTTGATTTAACGTACAATTTGATTCCATTGTTGTAAATGACGTTTCCTTTGTATAGAAATATTTGTCCTTTATCTTGACTTAAAACCTCGATGTTTCAAAGCTCATTATAATTTTTTTAATTTCTTTTTTTTTTTCAATTATTACTTCTGGAACAAAGTAAAATCAAACGTGCGCACAATGCAAAGGAAATTAAGAAATATCGCGATGTATCATTTGGTCGCTCGTGCGCGCTCGACGAACGAATTATCCGTCGTCCTTTGATTCTTTTGACGGCAAAAATTCATTGACATGATAATTTAATATTCAAAGAACGAGTGCGCGAACCGAAAGTTCGCGGGCGCTTTAATTTTCCATTTTTCTATTCCCGCGGCTGTGAAAAAAAAAAAAAAAACCAAAGAAAGAATTTTATTAGACGTTCTCACGTGGTTTAACGTTTTTAGCGCAGAGAGAAATTTTATGCTTGTGCTCATTAATTTTTTTCTTTCCGCGTGAAATGTGTAAACATGTCCCACAAGTCGGGCGTGATTCTTCTCGAGAATTTTTTTTATTTGCGCTTCCATTTCTTCTCTTCTCTGCTCCGATTTGTGGAGATCGCAAGATTCAATATGCGTTGAGAAGAAAATACGCAAAAGATTTTGGCGCACACCAAGAGCGAAATCTCTTATAGCAAGTTTTTTGATTTTTATTTTCGACGAGAGACGAGATCTCAGTATCTTCGTTTTCTCCAACTTTTCTTCTTTCGTTGAAAGGCTCTTTGCAATTTCTTCAATATTCTACACGAAAAGTAGCAATATGTATTGGTAAACAAATTTAGCTCGTTTCGTTAAAGAAGTTCTGGAAATATCGTTTCCGAACTACACGCGCAACTACGTCCGCACACATCGTACGTATATTTCAAAACTCCGTTTCGTTTTGGAAAGAAGCTTTTCCTTTGTAGACGCGCATTTTTGTACAAATCGCGTCTTTTCTGAAGCTAAGTCAAGAAAAGGTCGAACGACCTTTATTTACGCTCCTTTGTGGGACGGAACAGACCGATCGGATACTTCGCGATCGCACAATCGATATCGCGATACAAAAAAATCTCTCCCGAAAATGCGATGAAACACACAACCGTCGTCGTGCCCTTCGGGACTCGTTCGACGCAAAGTGTCTTCTTTCTTTCTGTCTCTCCCTCTCTTTCTCTCTCATCCATCTCTCTCTTTGTTGTAACCTCGTTTTTCTTTCGTTACGCATCGCGCTCGCTCGTATACATCGTTCCTTTTTCCGCGATAAACGTTCCACATCCTCTTTTCGCGCGCTGACCGAAATATCCAGAGGCAAGTGAGTTTCACACGATTAGTCCACCTACACACACACGATATCACGCCCTCACGAATTCCACCCGTTTCCCCTTGCCGTACATATCGCAAGGAAAACGATCGCTTAATCAACCGCCTATATAAATGCATCCTTAGGGGAAAAAAATGTGAAAAAAAATGATCTGTGGTCGGCAGCAGAGAAAAGCTTCTTGAAGAAATCATTGTGAAGAAAATATCGTACATATTTCGCGGTGTCCAATACACCGCGTGCGAAGGCAATATACGTCAAAGAAACAAGAAGAAAGACAACCGAGATACTCGCGACTGAGACTAAAATAGAAAATGTGCGATAAACCGAAGAAACTGGAAGTGAAACAACATTAAATTATCAACTACTTTGTACGGGGATTGTTTTAAAAAATATTATCACACCGCGCATTTGATTTTATAAACGTAAAGATATACTGTGCAATTTTGTGAGACTGCAATTAGTATTGCGATCGTATAATATTGCGTCTGGAAGAAAACGATGAGAGGATGCTCGTGATAATAAAAATTCACAATTCCTTCGTCGAGATAATGAGTTTCGTCCGGGCGGAACGCCTTTAGCGCTCGCGCGATTTACACTTCCCTCCGTGCAACGACGACGACGACGACGACGACGAGTTTTACTACGTAAAGAACCCCGACTAACTCTCGTCTCTTCTCGCCGTCAAGATTACAACCTCTAGAAGGGAACGTTACAACGAGACGGTATAATAGCGGGCCAGAACTGGCTGGTGCAGTAGCCAGCGTTTATTATGAATGCAAATGCATTCCGCTCGCGATATATATTTCTGCG